TTTGATGTTGGCTTACAAGTTACAAGTTTTCTTCGTGTTTTTCTCATCAATTTTGGAGGGCCATCCAGTTCTTGGTAATGTCACTGTTGTGCCAAATTTTTTCCACTTGATGACTGCCTTCATTGTGTTCCATGGTATAGCCAATGCCTTGGGAATTTCTTTGTATCCTTCTCCTGACTGATACCTTCCAATCATAACCTTTTGATGCTTTGTGAGCTGTTTCCTGGCCATGACTTTTGCTCTAAAAGGCAACTAAGTAAATGTTAGAAAAATCCTACTTTAATTGATGACAGATTTGTACTGATTATTATTTAATATCAGCTTGAATGTGATTGGTTAATTCTGAATGCAGTCACATCCCTATTTATAATTGGGTGACGCACTATGCAACCACATTATTGTACATTTTTATTTTCTCTCTCTAGAAGATTTCAGTTTGTCTTTCAATTGAATTGTGAAGCTTATATTTTATATTAAAAATGGAAAAATTCTGAAATGATTTATCTTGGTCTAATTTTTTTTACCCCTCAGAAACCTGGCATTTTATCACAGGTGTGTAGACTTTTTATATCCACTGTATATTTGTTACATTCGGTTATATTATTATCAACTAAGAACATGTTTCTTAGCAAGCTCAGGTTTGGAAAGACTTCTGTCAGTCAGAAATTAATAACAAACACACCAGAAAAAAAAACCATTGTTCCACTTTAGTACATTAGACTTTTTCAATGTAGTGCTCCAAGATAAGTTGGAACAGTAATTCCCAGAATACAAAATACATATTTGATAAAACATTGCACAATATTCTAGTGAAGCTTGACAGAGTACTAATCAATTCAAGGCCACTTATAAATGGAATATTGAGTGGGACAATCACCCTACTGCTGCTAAAGTTTTGGAATGGGAAATAGTGGGTGAAAATCTTCAAGATTTAAATACTATTCACATATTCCAATGAACAAAACTGTGATTGGTGTCAATGAAAGATTTTCTCCAGAGATAGGAAGCAATTGGAACAGTGGGAAGCAATTTTCATTGGGTCATCACAGAGGAAACAAAGGCTAACTCCTTTACTTTAATCCCAATCCAGATCAAATATTAAAATTCAGATTATCAGTGCTGTGATAATGCTCAATGAGAGAAGTATAAATCTTCTATATCTTTCTCCCAATGAATAATACAGAAACCTATTCTATCATGTGTGCAGTACAAGTAATAAAACGTACATCATGATACAAACTACTCATACGGTATATTTCAACTGGATATCAGGATACAAATGTAAAATATGAAGGTTAATTTTGTGATATGATGTGCAAACCATTATTTTTGTATTATCAGCTTATATTGTCTGTCATTTCCCACTTCTGCTTTGCATTTTTTTCCTGAGCCAATAGAGCTATGAAAGATTTTTTTTAAAAATGTCTTAAAATGCTACATTCCAGTCTCTGATGTGTGTGTATGTGTATGTATGTATCTATGTATTTACACACAACACACATTTGTAGTTTGACCTTTGCTAAATAATTAAATAATTAAAGTGAAACATATTTCAAGATACAAATGTTCTTCATTGTATATGTCACTCATGTAACTTTGCATGCATTATTTCATACTTTGATTATAATCTGTTTCTTTATTGATCTGTTTAAAAAAATACAAATATTTTCATTTAAATATGCATTGTTGTATGTGTTGTCATTTATAACACATTTCATCTCCAAATACCTAACTTATGAATACATTCTGAATTCACAAATATTGACATCTTTACTGAGCTAATAATAAAATAGTGTAAATGGCATTCCTATTTATCTAAACATCTTCTATACTGTATTTAATCATTATAAACACCTTCAAAAGTGGTCAGCTAACTAGATTTTAATTAACTAAATAAAACTGTCAAGCATCATCTTTGGTATTCAAGCAAAATATTAATTTTATAAATCTGATTGAGAGTAAACTGAAGACATCATGATAAATGCAAAAAAAAAGTAGCTACTTAAATTAACAAATATATCTCACATTCTCTTCAGTTTAAGATCTTCAGAATGTTGTTGTTTTAATATTCAGGGATAATTTTAAAGTCAAGATTAGTGAAGATTGGTTTTTATATCTAATTAGTACATTGATAAGGATTATAATTCTACTTGATCTCAATGAACTGCATTAGAAATGTGTTGTTGGGTTCATTTTTTGTCTCCATACGAAACAGTACTACTAGATGCAAAATTATTAGTAACTTTGCTATTTTAGAGCTAAAAAAAGACAACAGTCTATTTAATATCTGTGCATATTTACCACATAAAAATTATCAACTGCCAATATGTATTTTGATTATTTATTTAGAACTGGGTTATGAAAATATGTCAAAGAATCTTTAGCTTGCAAACTCAAAGATACTTGTTTATTTTGATTACCAAAACATACAAGGCAATCAAATGCATTTTATAATCCTGGATATGAGGGGCTAGATTCAATTTCTTCCTCACTCTTGAAGATCTGGAGCTGGTTTTGGGCAGACCACTATCTTTCAGCCTAAGATACTTCCTGAGCTATTCTGAAAGTTAAAAATGCTATAAGATATAGCAACATTTGATAAGGCACTTAACAAAATAAACAAACCCTGGCAAGGGTTTGGCAATAAGCTTTCTACAAAGCGATGCATTATTTAAAACAGCGATCCCTATAGGTAATCATCATTCTTAAAAATTATCACCCAATATGTTTAAATTGAAGTAACATAAAGGAATTGAAGATCATTGGAATGGGGCTAAGGAAGAGAACAATATGGGTGATAACCATGGAGGTTATTTGAAAATGCTTCTGGAAAATTGTTATATACATTAAATATTTCATAAAATGACACTGAATGCATACACTAAACAAGTATTCACCCCTTCTCTCATTTTCTGAGAAATAGAACAATATATATTATTCATATATACAGACAGTACGTGCAGCTCTAATTACACATACAACAATATATTTGAATAAAGATATACTTTCAACAACTTTTTTCTGTATTAAATCCATGTTTATTGCTTAAATTTTATCACAGTGGAGATTAAATTATTCTTAATCATCCGGTCAGTGTTTGTGTACTTTCTTCAATACAAAAACATTAAAACTAGTTCATTCATACACTCTAGGTTCTGTCATTCTCCCACCATTCATTGCCTCTTTGTGTTTCCTCAGTTGCCACATATTGATAGGATTGTAAAAAGATAAAGCTATAGGCATATTAATAACACCACACCCTTTCAAGTATCTGGAAAGTACAAATGCCTGTACTAAATTTTAGAAATGCATCTGCAGTTTCTACTTTATTGCTATAATATAGAGGCTCCTGATGGGATGGTAATGAAGCATCATGTCACTGTGTATGAAGATGATTTTAGTCTACAGTTTTTAAGAACTTTTCCCACGTTAGTGAATACACAGTTTAGATTTGTTTTTGTTTTTATTCCTAACGCTGTCAGACATGGGATTTCAAACTGCAAATAAATAAAGTATACACCCACAACATGTGCAGTGCAAATTCCAAGTAAACAGGATGACAAGGAAATTTAATAAACATATAGTTGCCAACACTGGTTTAACGGGACAATCCTAATATTTTAATGCCCTGTATTCCCATTCTCTGTTTAAAAACAGATACCTATATTGGTTGCAGTGATTGAAAAAGCATTGTGCAGAAAAATAATGCTATGAGTGTAGGAAGAGGCACAGTGTTTAACTAGTTTATAGGTTTAATGTCATGCATGATATCAAACCTCTACAAAAACAGTGTAACTGACCAAAAAATAACCTCCTTTAGATTCAAATAAATGATGTTGGCAACTAGATAACATGGATTACATGGACCAGATTACTCTAAAGATTATAGACAGAACTAAGTGAACCTCTGAACCATTATGGTTTGGGGCGGGGACAAAACCTTAATTGTAGTAATATAATAGTTAAGACATTCAACTTTATAACAAACCAAAAATGGTTTGATTCTGCATTGCTCAAGGGACAAGAATAATCCTTTTCCAAAGAGCCAGTGCAGAATATTTTTTTCTCTGCTTCATTTATTTTTATATCGATTTATTATATCCACATAGCCCTTGTAGTTATTGAAAGAGAACAACCTTACTATGGCATAAATAATGAATTGGGGAAAGGTAAGGAACAGAACTAAAATTTACATAAATATAAAATTACACCTTATGGTACTCTTGTGCAATTTCCTTTTCTTTAAAGAAATGGAAGAAAATGGAAGAGTTATGTGGTATATCAAAACTACGGTGTATCATCATATTCTTCAATGCCTTTTAAGAATATGATTTTTATGGCTGCATTATAATTCTACAGTTTGTTTATTTCTATGTACTGAACACTATGAAAGATGACTTTAATTAACATCATTGTCAGATAACAAATTAAACCTTAGATAAATAGAACCAAGATTTCTTTGCTAAAATATAAATGTGCATGAAAAAAGGAAGAATCTTTGTAAGTAAAAGGAAACCATTCCTTTTCTGAGACACACATATTATTCACAAATTGACATGAATATACCTAATGAATTACTTCAGAGAATTAAGGCTTCTAGAAAACTTCAGTGCCAGAATGACCTTTCTCCATCAGTATTAAGAATAAAATACTTTTTGTACTTTAGGTTGTGCTTCATTTTTCTAAAGATTTTTCTTAGTTCTGCAGAATTTAATTGCATAAGATTACATACTGTAGGGGAGCATTAGAATTGTTTATTGTTTTACTTTAAGTAGGTGTTATACTATGTTACAGCTATAAAATTTAATTATAGTACTGATTTGTTGCTAATGTACATTGAGTAGTTGGCTCATTTCACCTTTTTTTCATGTTTAATGTGACCATTTCTTCTATACTTGCCGTTTGGTATCCCATTCTGGTAATGTCCATTGACAGTAACATGTTCATCAGTGGACCAAAAATGTTTGCTTTGCTTGCAAATAAATTTTGCTATCCTGGCCAAAATGTAGCAGAGTAAGGCAGTACAAAGTAGCACAACAAAGGCAATATCCAATAAGAAATACTGATATAAAGAGACAGTGTAAACTGCAGATCGTAAATGCTGTGCTCCATTATGACGAAGGATGTAATTAATCCAGTAGACTGTTCGATTAACAGGATGAGCTGGTTGGTCTTTATGGATTTCAGACAGCTTCCGGGCCTGTCGCCTGTAGCTATGAAATAAAAATTAAAAACATAATAATAATAATAATAATAATAATAATAATAATAATAATAACAACAACAACAACAACAACAACAACAACAACAACAACAACAACATTGCTGCATTTTCAATTCTAACATTCCCATACTATTTTATCATAATTAAACATAATTTATTACACAGGTAATCCTCAACTTATGATCACAGTTGGGACTGGAATCTTGGTTGTTCAACTTCAACCTCAGTTGCTTTGCTGAGCAACTGCAATCCTGGCACTTTTCGTTGTCCTTAAGCAATCTCATAAGTTCTTGAGAAGACAGAACCTCAGATCAGGAGCCTAGGTTGGAGGGGGAAATTCTGGCAGGTTCTGCTCAGAAGCTGAAATTCCTCCCTGTCAAAATCCAAACAGAATTTCGAACTCCTGAGTGGAGAAACACTTCCAAGTTGCCTGCACGTCCCCTCCCTGGACCTCCCCCAGCTCCCCTGAGGCACCCCAGATTCCTTTCCTTACTACTCTATCTTTCCATTCAGGAGCTGAAATTTTGCCCTGCCGAAATCTACTCAGCAGGCAGCACCAACCTTCCATGCCAGCCTCCCCACTGACTTTCTGGGAAGTGGGTAGAGAAGATTGCAAATGGAACAGGATTGTGGAATGCTTAGTAACCAGTCGTAACTACAAACAAGATGCTTAGCTCCCAAATCGCAAATCACTTGATTGCAGAAGTGATGATGCAACGTTTTGTAACATCTAGAAGTGCTTTACAAACCATAAAACACCCTTTCCAATACCACCCTAATCCCAGACCTCCATTAATTGTTGTTAAGTCGAGAACTACCTGTATGGTAGATGGTTAGGACAGCATAATTACCCTAAATTCTTTATAAACTTTTATTTCACTGAAAATTTAGCAAACTTTGTTTTGTTTTTTTTAAAGAAAAGACAATTCTTACCTGGGCTCATTAATAACTTTCACCAGTGCATTATATAACTCATCCTCTGTAAGAGTCTTCCAGTTTAGTAGTATACCCATGCCCTTGGCCTGCACTCGAGTCATGGTGTCATAATGGTCTCCAAAAAGAGGGATTCCCACCACAGGAACACCATGGTACATGGTTTCAAAAATGCTATTCAGACCACCATGACTAAGGAAGGCCTTAATATTAGAGTGACCTACAGCAGCAAAAGGTAAGGTACAGGAAAGAAAAGTGTTTAATCACAACCCAGAACAAAATCCATGCATCTAAAACCTGTATGCACATTGAATTTAATATTGGAATAAAAAAACCCACTCAGATTCTTTGATTCTTTTTTCCGTTACAGATGAGATGATAAGCACACATGGAATTTCTCACTGCTGTTACCATATATAGGACACAGAAAATGAAATAACTGTACTCATTACGTTAGACTAACTGAGTATCAGGAAGAGAAATAAACTTAGAAAGGACTTGCTTTAATTTATCAGGCTATATAAAGTGACAACAGGAGCGTTTATATTTTCATATTTGCAGATTCTGTTAATACAGCCCTACAATAAAATAGAGCTTATCTGATTGTGTTTCCTATCTGGTCTACTTGGGAGGCTGATATCAATATTTAAGAAACTAGATAGTTCTCCTATAATAAAGGTAGTCTTCATTTAGTGACTGCAGTTAGTTCTGGCAAAAATCTCATAGTTGCTAAGAGAATCATGTAATTTAGAGAGGGCAAAAGGGGTTGAAAAATTACTGATTGCTGCCATCTTATTCAGATAAAGTTTTCTCATACAATGTCCTGGGTCTGACCTTTTCTTTGTGTCCTCCCAAGGTGGAGATTGCTTAAGCAAGGTACACTCTGTCTTCTTAATCAGTTGATTAGAACACCCGTGACTGCTGCCTGAAATTGACTTAATCGGTTTTACACTGAAGGATTTTGCTGTTGTAAATATGTGCATTGATCAGAAAGTGACCAATTGATTACTATCAAATTTGCAAACAGTCCCTATCTCAGGCAGTTCTAAATAAAGACTACCTGTACTTCAGTATGAATATACAGCATATGAATATATGTCTTATGACTGTTCAATTGATACAGTATTTCAAATTTAATTTGTGTTTATTACTTGTCTATCATAAAAAAATTAGCAGTATAGTTTAGTCTATAGCAACCTGCTCAAGACACTCGTGATTTCATTCCCATCCACCTCACACATTGCCTCTGAGGGAATGTAGATCTTGATACAGAAAAACCGTTCCACCTATAATCTAAAGCAGTGTTTTTCAACCACTGTGCCGTGGCACACTAGTGTGCCGTGACATAGTGTAAGGTGTGCCGTGGGAGAATTACTTTATATATAGTCAATATAGGCACAGAGTTAAATTTTTTTAGCATTTTCTAATGGTGGTGTGCCTCGTGATTTTTTTCATGAAAAAAGTGTGCCTTTGCACAAAAAAGGTTGAAAAACACTGATCTAAAGCTAACAGAAATGGTCAGCTATCTAATGATCCATGTTAACAATATTCCTATATAGATTTAGACTACAAATACAGGTAGTCCTTGTCTTACAATCATTCATTTAGTGATTGTTCAAAGTTGCACTGAAAAAGTGACTTAAGGCCACTTTTCACACTTATGACTACGATCGTATGATCAAAATGTGGATGCTTGGCAACTGGTTTATATTTATGATGGTTGCAGTGTCCTGGGATCTTGTAATCATCTTTTGTGATCTTCTGATGGGGAAAGTCAGTGGGGAAGCCAGATTCACTTAAGTGTGTTACCAACTTGGCAAATGAAGTGATTCACTTAACAACTGTAGCAAGAAAGGTTATAAAATGGGCAAAATTCACTTAACAACTGTCTTGCTTAGCAACATAAATTTGGGGTTCAATTGTGGTCATATGTCAAGGATTATCTGTAAGTCTAGTATGAAAAAACAAATATGGTACAAGAGGTTAACTTTAAATGATAACTTCCAACAATACTTACCTAATAAATCATTTTGTGGTAACCATTCTATAAGTTTTGTATTGTTACCTAAATTCCTGGGATTTTTACCTGAAAATCTAAAATACAAAAGAAATGAAAACTTAAAACTACATTCCAAAAAGAATACAGTAATGTATTGTTAGTTTTCAATGTTCAACTTATCAATAAAAATAAATAAAAAAGCAATATGAACTTAAATATTAAATATATCCGTACATATATTTATAGATATATCACTATATATACATACCGTAATCGTATAGGTACAATAAATGTACTGACATTTGTTAAAGTGAGTAAGTCTTAAAAATTAGTTTCAGGAGGTTAGATACCATATTGTAATAGAAAATGCACTAGACTGAGTAAGGTAGTGTAATGCATTGAAGAATTTGTTTAATTTAATTTACAGTGCATTGAAGAGAATATAAAGCAAAATAGTGAGATATTGTTTCAGATCCTCCATACTGGGGGACATGGGAGTGGGCTCTAGATATCCCTTAACTTTTTAAAAACTCTCTCTTTCCTTCTTCTGTGTATCATGGAGAATGGTGGCACCAAAGAATTGGAGATTACCAGGAAGTGATATGACCATGGCAGGGGAGAAAACAGTATTCTCTGAAGCTGCCTCAAGAACAAAGCCTTGTGCAATATGGAACAACCCCAAGGAGCATACAGGGGCCTGTGAACAGAAAAAGAACATCACCTGAAAGTTAGGTGGCGTGCTGCAGATCCTAGGAAGTGCTGTCCCACGGGGGCAACTGCACCATTCCCCAAGGCTCTCATACCTTGGGGGACAGCATGAGGTGGTCTTTTTCAGTGGCCCATGGGGGGTGCTAGAGTTGAAGTTGAATTCAGGGCCTCTATTTTAGGCCTAACCTTGGCATTGCTGCCGAGTGCTATTGTTCAGAGTGGCCTAGATAGAGGGGAAATGGAGAATTGTTCCCCTTTCATTTGAGAGGTGTAATATCACATCAGCACAGTCAAGTTAGCCTAAAACCATCATTGGTTCAGCATAAAAACAAGAAGCTAACAATAATAGCTTTCCTATACTTGAATAACTGTCACATGGAGGAGGATATGGATTTATTTTCCATAGTGCCTCAGGATAGGACAAAAAACAATAAGTGGAAGCTTTAAAGAGAGATATCCTAATTTGAAATTAATATGAATTTCCCGATTGTGCAAGCTATAAAACATAGAATAGCTTACCTACTCAAGTTATAGATGTCTATTACTGGAGGTTTTTAAACAAAGATTGTTGAGACCAAGGCATACATACTTACTTTAGTTCAGCAGCTGGGATAGTTTTCATGGTAACCATGAATTATACTTCTGACATACAGTCCTGGCACTACTCCTTAATCACTTCTAATAATACCCCCACAATGATAAGGCACCAGTAGAAGATTAACAACTTTACACTAAAACAAACATAGTGCTGAATCAACTGCGCAGGGAGCCTATTTCAGATACCTGCTTTATAGTCAGCGATTTTTAATTCGGAATGTTAACAGATATACCTAAATGATATATACACATTACATTTTCAGAAATACGTTTTGTTTAACATTGCATCATATTGTATCAATTTTTATTTACTTAATAATTAAGATTAAATGAACTGTACAATTTGACCAGAAACACCCAAATGTTACCATATATTGATTGACCTGGATTACGACATTGGTTTGTTCCAGCAGTTTTTCCATTTGGAAAGAACATTTAACAACACATATGCCCTCACGCTCAGCAAATGCACTAGGCATTCCTAAGATCCAGCAAAATAATCTTTTGGGTAGACTGCTTCATGAAGCAAAATGAGCCAATAGCTCTCCTGCCTCTTACTGACTCTAACCTGGTGGAATGGGCGAGTACTGCATCTCACCCAAGATTTCACACTACTGCTTTTGAAATTGAAATACAACATCTGAAATTGTGAAAGTTTTTCAAGAACGAGATGGAAACTTTTATGTAAAAATGAGAAAAGGAATAGACCCCTCACTCTAGGATCCACCTGTTTCCATAAAACAAAAATATTCATCAATCCTACTTTATTTATAAATTAAATAATATTAATATCTTACCTCCAAATTACTCTTTGAGGAAGTCTAGCCAGAGCATGTGCCAATTTATCTGCTATATCTTCAGGTAAGTATTTCACTCCAGCTCCAAATGATACAAGGACAAAGCCATTTTCAGTAGCACCATTCACCCATGTTTGCAGATCCTATGGAAATAATTGGCTTGCTATCAACAAACATACTATTGGAAATACATCACACCATAAGTGTGATGTCGTAACAATAATATAGTATTTGATTGAAGATTCATCAATCAATCAATAGTCCAATTATTGTTTCAGATGCTCTTATCCTATGCTCAAAGTGACTTCACTCAAGACAGTTAAAAAAAAAAGAAATGAAATATCAAAGCTGAGCTACTCTCCCTTGAAGCGTAGGTAGATTGTATGAATTCACAGATGACTTGAAAAACTTAGATTACAGTCAAATTCACAAGTAGCCTTCAGAGTGATATCTGATTCAGATATAAGGGTAATAAACTAAAAGTGGATCACATCTGGAAAATACTAATGGGCAATATGCCCAAAGATTGCAAAGTGAAATCTGATGTTTAAACAGAAATGGCTATCAAAAGTAAAAAGTTATCTTCAGACTGGCTATGTGTGAAATATGCTCAGAATAGCACACCTAGCATTGAAATAATTATTAGTGATTGATCTGTCTAATGTGTGCAGATACCCCATTTCTAGGGATGTATTTTCAGATAGTAACAGAGTGTATTAGCCACCAGTATTTTGACAGCTACTTGCATTGTTTAGGGAATCCCATCTTTCCAGAATAAACAGCAGAACTAACATATTTCACCTGAGTTATAGAGGAAGAAATTAGGTAGAATTTGTCCTGCCCAGATGAAAGCTCAAGACTACCTTAATAATAAAAAAGCACTATGACAAAGGAGAACTAAATGCAAAGTAAGTTTATCAATAAACATAATCTACTGTTCTGTTAAGCTGATGTGAACACCACTAAGAGACTATTTCCCAATCAATCAAGGTGGTTAAGTGTTCAAAGGGCACCGAAAATTAAAACAGAACAAGTGATTCTCTCTCTCTCTCTCTTTCTCTCTCCTTCCCTCCCTCTCTCTATCTACCAGTGGTGGGTTCCTACTGGTTCAACTGAACTGGTAGTGGTTTGGCGGCCTGGGTCACTGGAACCGGCAGCGACCCAGGCCTGCCATGCCCCTGAACTGCTTCCTCGGTCGCCACCGTCATCATCTTGTTTTTCAGTTCTGCGCATGCGCAGAAC